ATTTTTTATGCTGATTGCTCTATTTTCTAGGATATAAGGTCGGGGGAGATGATTGGACAAGCTAGGGAACTTGGCAGATTGTACTATCTAGTCATGGATCATGGGAAGAAGTTTGCTTCTGCTGCCTCTAAAAATAATAATGTTGAATTGCTACATTATAGACTTGGACACCCTAGTCTTTCATATATGAAGTTCTTGTATCAAAGTTTATTTAATAAAGTTGATGTTTTGTCATGTGAGCATTGCCAATTCTCTAAGCACACTAAGAACACATATCCCTCTCGATATTATGAAACTACCAAACCTTTTTCCATTATTCACAGTGATATCTAGGGACCCTCTAGAACTCACACTACCAACCAACACCGTTGGTTTGTCACCTTTATTGATGACCACACAAGAACTACCCGGGTTTATTTCATGAAAGAAAAATCTCAAGTCTTTGACATTTTCAAAACTTTTCATAAATTTGTTCAAAATCAGTTTAAGACTAAAATTCAAATTTTTAGAAGTGATAATGCAAAAGAGTACCTAAGCCAATCCTTCAGTAAATATCTTGATTCTTACGGTATTATTCATCAAACTTCTTGTGGCCACATACCCCAACAAAATGGGGTTGCTGAAAGAAAAAACAGACACCTCTTAGAAGTTACTAGAGCCATCATGTTCACCAAACATGTTCCAAATCAATTTTGGGGAGATGCGGTCCTTACTGCTGCTTTTCTCATCAATAGGATGCCTTCAAAAACCCTCAAATTCAAAACCCCATTGCAAATGTTGTTTGAAATCTATCCCTTAATACCTTTAGTAAACACGGTCCCTCAAAAGGTTTTTGGTTGTGTTGCCTTTGTTCACAACATGCATGGTAATAAACTTGATACTAGGGCTTATAAATGCATTTTCTGGGGTTATTTAGCAACTCAAAAGGGTTATAGGTACTATTCTCCCACTCTTAAAAGATATTGTGTCCATGGATGTCACCTTCTTTCAAGAACAATCCATTATCCAAAAATGTCTATTCAGGGGGAGAATTTTGAGAGTGAACAGACTTTTTTGCCCACTATACCTAATCCCACACTTGAAACAGAAACAACCACCCAAGCACCTTGCCTTGGACAAATTCCTGAACAACCTGAACAACCTGAATCCCACCAAAACATCCAAAACAACACTGAACCTGAACCTATTACAGATCCAAAACCTGAATCGAAAACTGATAAAACACCACCAAAATGTTGAGCCTACACCTATGAATGGCAATACTATGGATGCAGTAGATACAAATGTAGGGGGAGCAAAGCAACACAAGAAGGAGGTCTTTACCTATAAGAGAAGGCTAAAACAGAATGTCCCAAATGCTAAATCAAAGGAATCTGACAATGACCTAGAAGAATTTGTCCAAGTTCCCATGCTAGAACATGATTCTACCCCTACTTCTAAGATCTGCCCATAGCCCTATGGAAAGGCAAGAGGTGCTGTACGAAACATCCCATCTGCAATTTTATTGGATATGACAAATTGTCACATAAAATGCAGGTTTTTGTCATTAAGCTAGATGAAGAAAAGCTACCAGAATATTTCCATGAAGCTGTAAAGAACCCAAGTGGAAAGAGGCCATAAAGGAGGAGCTAGATGCACTGCAAAAGAACCAAACCTGGAAACTGGTTGATTTACCACCAGGAAAATCAACAGTTGGGTGCAGGTGGATATTTACCAAGAAATTCAATCCAGATGGGAGCATCAATAGATATAAAGCTTGATTGGTGGCTAGGGGGTAGATAGAGGGAATAGACTATCAGGAGACTTTTGCTCCTGTAGCTAAATTTAGTACAATTAAAATTCTCCTCTCACTTGCTATAAATTTATATTGGCTCTTACACCAATTGGATGTCAAAAATGCCTTTTTAAATGGCGATCTAGTAGAAGAAGTTTACATGGATGCTCCTCTTGGCCTAGAAAAAACTGGTGGAAAGGTATGCCGACTTTATAAATCCCTTTATGGTCTAAAGCAATCACCTAGAGCATGGTTCGAGAAATTCTCTAAAGCTGTCAAAGCTTAAGGGTATTATCAGTGCCAGGCTGAACACACTATGTTTGTGAGACATAATCCTAATGGTAAAATGGTGATACTAATAATCTATGTAGATGATATTGTGATCTCAGGTGATGACTTGCAAGGAATACAACAATTGAAGACATCTCTAGCAACAAATTTTGAAGTAAAAGACCTAGGAAGTTTGAGATACTTTCTAGGAATGAAAGTTGCTCGCTCAAGCAAAGGGATAACTATGTTTTAGAGAAAATATACCCTTGATCTACTCAAGGAAACCGGCATGTTAGGAGCAAGTCCTGAAGATAATCCAATGTTCCCTAATTTCAGGAATATGTTGGAAAATCCTAGAGAACTAGTTAATGTTGAAAGGTACCAAGGTTTGGTGGGCAAGCTTATTTACCTCTCTCATACCCGTCCCAACATATGCTTCCCAGTCAGTGTTAAGCTAGTTTATGCATCAACCTGGAGAGGTACATGCAAATAGCATACAAAATATTGCACTATCTAAAGCTAGCACTAGGCAAGGGCATTCATTTAGAAAAGGACGGGCAAGGATCTAGAAGTATACACTGATGCGGGCTATGGAGGAAAGATGATATGAGATCAACTTGTGGTTACTTTACCTACTTGTGGGGGAATTTGGTTACATGGAAGAGCAAGAAACAAAATGTTGTGTTTAGAAGCAGTACTGAATCTGAATACCGTGCAGTAGCACTTGGTACATGTGAAGGTATTTGGATCCAAAGGCTTATGACAGAGCTGAAAATTAAAATGGATCCCAAGATGACACTATATTGCGATAACAAGTCTGCAATCTACCTTGCTAAGAACCCTGTGCATCATGATCACACTAAGAACATAGAGATAGATAGACACTTTATTATGGAAAAACTTGAGTTAGGGCAGGCTAAAATAATTTATCTTCAATCAGGTGATCAAACAACAGATTTGCTGACTAAGGGACTACCTAGTTCCAAGTTCGAAGTGTTGTGTCGCAAGCTAGGAATGATAAATATCTATTCACCAGCTTGAGGGGGAGTGTTAGTGTAATAAGCTCCTAACTTTCAGGGATTTTATTCTGCCATTAATATTATTCCCTTCCCCTCATAGTAGATTTATTATATCTTGTAATTATGATAAAATCTCCTTAATCATAGGCTAGAATAATGGGATATTATAGCTGTTTGCATCCCAAATATACTATTTATGTAATGGGCATTACCCATCAAGAATAAACAGAATTTTTCAGTCTCTCTTTGTTCAGTGCGAAAGCATTGGTTGAGAAAAGACGCTTACCCTATTAGACTTTAATGGTGGAGTTGTTGCTGTATTTGAAGTAGGAACTTGTTCTTCAACAATTTCATTTGTTGATATCTTAGTACTCTGTACAGTTCATAAAATATGAATAAGTTCTTAAAGAAGTTCAATTAACCAAGCAGAAAGTCTTTTATGAATTGAGGAAAAAGCTCAATGAAAATACAAAATTATTATTATTATAAGACACTTCCACTTCTACGTTGCTGCATATATAACTGAAAAAAAGACTGAATACACACACACAACGGTGAAAGTATTAATTGAGAATAACCCTTACCACATTTGAGTTAGATGATAGAATTGTAGAGAGCTTTTCTTCAACAATTTCATTTCCTGATGCGTTGGCACTCTACGCAGCCCATAAATTATAAATATATCAGTTTCTAAAAGGGTTAAAATAAATAAAAAGCATATAATATATTAATTAAAAGAGAAATTGTTTGTTGGTATAAAATTTGACAAATTTGCGGTGCCGTTGTTAGCCATTTCCTTTGATAGTTCGTTACTCTAAGCATTAAAACAATGGTATAAAAAGAAGATAAACTGAGCTTTGATGTTATTAATAACTATAATAAATTAAATTTCAACACACAACATGAAAAAAATCTTTATTTATTTGGAACAAATGGATAAGACAATGAGGTAAGAGAGAATTCATTAGTCAGTTTCTTAAGTATGCTTAGTCATAGGAAAGTATAAACACGTACATTTTCAAAATTTGGAGAACCATTGCTCTGTTGGGGCATTGCTGAGTCATTTCCAACATCTTGTGGTCCCTCTTCTTCAATCTGAACAATAATAGAATATATACATTAGCTTACTATTAGAGTCAGCTTTGATTCCTAGATGTGCATCAGCTACTCGTACAAACTCTTGCATAAATTAAAAACAAAATCATCGCCATTAAGCCCTTTCCACTTCTGCATTGCTACATAACTGAAAGATGATCAATGAAAATACAAGTGAAAGCATTTGTTAAGGAATGAGTCCCACAATATTTGAATCAGATGACGAAGTTGTTGCTGCTGTATTCGAAAATAATTTGTGTTGAAAATTGAGTTGCTAGAAAAGTTCAGTTCATAAAGAAGCAAATCTTACATCTATTGAGAGAGAAACCTTTTTTCGTCAATGAGGCAGAGTAATTATTATGAACCATAAGTTTGTACCTCTGTCAAATTTGGCGAACCAGTTTTCTGCTTTTGTATTGCGGAGTCTTTTTCAACAGCCTCATTGGATGGCTCTTCACTCTAAACAACCAATCACAAAAAAATATAAAGAGAGATCAATTGAGTTGAAGTGTCCAATAAACTTTGTATATCCTGGCCCGCAAAGAAGAAAAAACCGTTCTAGATGTATTAACATCCTGCTAAAATTGGGGACAGAGGGAGAAGAAAAGTGAGAAATAAATTTGTTGGCTTCTTTAAAGTTTGTTGATTATAGAAAAGTATAATGTATGTACATCAGCTTGGTCTTGAGTACTACTGCTCTGTTCTGATATTGTATTGTCTCTCTCACGAGCTTCCTTTGATTCTTCTCTTTTTCTCTAAGCAATGATAATAAAGAAATTAACGAGTTGAAATCATCAAGAAAAATAGTAATATTAGCCCACAAAATAAGAAAAGTAGGAGAACTATTGAATTTCTACCAAAATTAGTAGAAGTCTAGCACTAACCTCATCGGCCCAGCTGTAAATAATATGGCATGTGTAGACGAAGTCATGGTCATCCTCAAAGTTCCTCTTTTCTTGTGTCAACGAATAATTGACATAATTAGATACTGCACAAGCAAAACCACAATTTCATTATTATTAATATGAGAAGAAATCATAATAGCAGTTAGTGATTTCGATTAACTACGTATATGTGAATACTTACTCTCAGAGGAGCCGACATTAGTTGAAGGGATATTGTTACAATCTTGCACAATACGGATTTTCACAGTTTGGAAATCAATTCCATGGTAGATAGTGTGAAGACTTGGTAATTCTACCAGTCTTAGTGCAAGTAAATTTGGAAGCACATCTTTGATGACCAACTCTTGTGGCGCACTCTGCTTCCATTCAAATACCTGCGCAAGCTCAGGGGCATCTTCTATCTCCAACAGCAAGAGACATGGAAGTTTAGCACATGTGGAGATAGAGAATAGGCATTTCAACTTCTTACAGTGCTTCGCTCGAATTCTGCATAGCTTTGGGAAACATGGTTGATGCAAATCTAAAGGATGTTTCTGATTCTCTTCATCATCCTCAATCATGCTCACCAGCTCTTCACAGTCTGATATAAATAGACTTCTCAATTCTGGTATGCTTCTTGTGGTAGATGCGGATAGTATGAACTTCAACTGTTTGCATCCTACCAATGTTAGCCCGGAAAGGTTCCTAAAGCTCAAAGAGTTTTTAGATCCCACGTAGATGTCGCTTAAATCAGGTAACTCTTGCAAGTTCGAAAGTGCCTTACCTTTCTCCTTGAAAGATAATGCCTGTAAGCATACAATTGAGGTAAATTAGTATTAAAGAGTGCCTTTAGTTGATTGATTATAAACTTGAGAAGCAGACTAGAAAGAGGTTTACCTTTCTCCTTGAGATATCTTCTTGTCTTTTGTGTCCACCAACCAAGAAATCTATAAAAGTTTGGGCAAGCTGTAGACATCCTTCAATTCTAATATATTCTAGATGTAATACCTCCACGTAATAGTTTTCTGTGCAAATACTAACCATATTTGGTAAATCTACAAGGTATACTGTCTTCAAGGCCGGGAGATTAAGTTTACTCTGAACATTATGATTCTGATCAGCATGACATTCTCGAAATACGTATTTCATCTTTTCTGCCTTCTGGATGCTCACAGATCCCAACTCCCTAAAGTCTTTTGAATAAAAAGCTGGGAATACATATTCCAAATTGTTACAGCTCCAAACATGAATTTGCTGTAAGTTGGGAAAGATAGAGTGCACATTCAGATGACCCTGACTATTAGCCCCCTCGTCTGTTATTATATGTTCCAGCATGTCACACCACTTGACATACAATGTTTCCAAGAACTTCAGTGACGAGGCAATGGATATGGTAAAGAGTGACGTTAACTTGGAAAATCCAGTTATCTCAATCTTTCTCAAATTGGATTGATATAATGGTAGTGGAAAATATCCTTGAGCTGTACTTGGCACGTGCTTTTCTTTGGATGTCTTGGTTAAATACAAACATGTGAATTCTTTTTTTCCTTTTTCCTGGTAAACACATATGAATTCTTCAATAAACTAATAAAGAACATTTTAATATGCTATTATATTTTAAAAAATAGAAAGTACTTTGTTTGGTTCTATACAGAACTTGTGAAACCAATGAAGAATTCAAGAGAAATTTTATTTAGCTTTTCTATCAATATATATATATAATTTCTCCCCTAATTTTTCTCATATTGTAAATAAAGAAAATGCTAGCTTTAGATATAAACTGAAATTTCCCTCTTTTACTTTTCTATTATTTTCTCTTTAAACAATTAGCTACAGGCCACAATTATATATTTTAATCCATATAACGTGAACTTCCATATTAAAAATTATCATTAAGAATATAAATTTTCAACGTTCTAAATACTTCAGCAAATGAAAAAGTGAAGTAATGAGGAAAAATTTAACAATATAAATGTTTTAGAATGGAAGTCAAATGTGAAAAAGTAACTTGCAAGTAACACGGAACATATTTTGAGACAAGTCATCAAAATCAATAATACATGTGTTTAAACACACAAAAAGCTACGACAAGTACAAATCTTTACAAAATAATAAATTTGATCTACTTCGATATTCACAAACTAAAAGAACTAGTTGGAAAAAGGTTTACCATTTTCTTTGAGAGATCTTCTCTTTTTGGCGCTTCAACGGATAAGTCCATAATAGTATTTATGAGAAGTTGTGGGCAGTTTTCCAAATCTATATCTTGTAGAGATAATGCTTTCACAGAATAGTTTTTGGTACAGATACTAACCATATTTGGCACATCATGAAGGCATAGGCTTTTGAGATTCAGGAGGTTAAGTTCGATATGAACATTATGCCACTGATTGGAATGACATTTTCCAAACACATATTTCAACTTTTCAGCATTGAAGACTTCAAGCTCCTTTAAGTTGGAAAAGATATAACAATCATTCATATGATTGTAAACATGCCCCTCATCTGTTACTATATGTTCCATTTCACCACATTCGCTAATTGTCAATTCTTCCAACAATTTCAATGATGAGGCAATGGATAGGGTAAGAAGTGACTTCAATCCAGAAAATCCCTCTATACTCATCTTTCTCAAATTCTTGTATGGATATAATGGAGGTGTAAAAAGTCCATCAGCTCTACCGAGATGTTTCTCCTTTAATGCCTATGTTACATTAAAGTATTCGTCAATATGTTATTACATTATCAAATTGCAATCACGGCAACAAAAAAAAACGTGAGAGATAAGTACCTGAGTATGGCCCAGTTGATTGCCCTTGAAAAAAGATGGTTCATCTATACTTAAGGCACTTGCTTTTGAAGATAAACAGCATAGAGGGTCCCATGATTTCTGCACTTGGGAGGGTTGTGGGAGATAATGTTCTGGATAGATGTTGACGAATTTTGGTACGTTTGCAATATATATTTCTTGTAGTAAGGGGAGTATGATTTCTTTTTCGATTTGATACATTCCTCCCTCCTCTAAGCATTGTCCAAATATGTATCTTAGCTCATTACAACCATCGACTATCACACTTTCTAGCTCTTTGCAAGGAAAAATTGGAAATATAAATTTCAATGCATGACATTCTTCAACCTTGAAAAACTTCAATTTCGGGAACATCAAGTGGTGGATCTTTTGATTAGGATCTTGATGATCATCCACTTCCTGCTCTATTGATTTCACATCATCACTTATTAGGCATTTCAACTTTGAGCATCCCTCTATGTGTAAATTTTCCAATTGCCTTAGACTCTGAGCTGCAGATAAGTGGAAAAGACATGTCATTGAACAAGCATTTAATGCTATAGACTTTAGATTACTTAGCTCTAGCTTGCCCTTCAATAATGTGCCATCTAGTTCACCACAATCATTTAAGTCTAGCTTCTCTAGTTGCTTGAGAAAGTCATTAGGAGGATGGCCATGACATAATTCCCTCACATGCATATTATAAAGTCGCAGCTCAACTAAGTTGGAGAAGATGGTTGCATTAGATTGAATTCCACTTGTATTGATGAGGCATTGTATTGCAGGCCAAGATTCCAAAGAAAGCCTAAGCAAGTCATTCATGCCATCATTTTCTTTAGGATGAACCATGTCAGGAATGAGATTTGCCCATCTTGCTTCATTACATTCTGTTAACTCGAGAATCTCTGCTCTTGCTACTAGGGATTTGATTGTGCTTTCAGACAAGATCCCTTCTAAATTGGTTGAACTGAAATATCTCTTTATTGAAGCATCCAATTGAAAAGAACGCTGGAAGGAATAGTTGCCTTCTACATGATATATTCCAAATTCTTGATGGAGATCTATAATTTTAGAAGGCTTTGGATTAATTTTAAGAGTGTCATGATTTGAAACATAATACAATGCTTCAAGTTTCGAGCATCTCCCAATCACTTCAAATGGGTTATTCTTTTCGATTGAACAATCTATGAAGCCTAGCAACCTCAGTTTCTCCAGTTGGCTAACTTCATTTGGTAATTCACTAATTGAACAATTTGTCAACTCAAGAGTTTGGAGTTTTTTTAGGTTTTGCAAAATAGATATATCACCCAACTCCCAATTTGCTAGGGATAGTGTTTGGATATTTTCAAGTGAATGAACTGATTTTGGTAGTGATAAGTGCAATTTTCTCCCAAACTCAACCTCGGAATACAAAAGCAAAACTCTAAGTCCCTCCATGCCTCCAAAGAATGTGTCAGGAGCTTCCAAAGAACGATTTGCATTTACCCATGCTAAAAGAACCTCAAGATTGTCGCTCTCAAAAGAGTTGAAAAAGTCATCTATCATCCAGGATGAATATTTTATATTCTCCTTCAATTTACTTTTAGAATCCATGATTACTTGAATCTTTGCATCTCCTATATGTTGGACCACATCACGAATCACATCGTGCATCTTTACACATCCTTCTTTTGCAGTCAACAATAAAGCAGAACGTACGAGTGTGGTTTTGATTGAAAGCACTTCACTTCTTGCTTTGTAGTAGCTGCCAACATTTTCAGAAAGCCCTAAACCTATAGCAATTCTGCTTAAAAGCTCTATAGGTATTTCATAAGCTCTTGGGAATAAAGAACATATCAGGATGAGGTCCTGAGCTCTTGTATCTAGACACTTGAAGCTTATTTTCAAAGAATTATAAAACTTTTTTGCTTCTTCATCATTATTCCCATGCCTTAAGGACGAATCTTTTTCTATTGCTGCAAAAGCATCCTCCCATTCATTTGGATCCCAGTTTCTAAAGGTTCTTGCTACTGCCACAACTATGACTGGTAAGTTTCCACACTCATTCACAACTTTTGATGCCAACAACTTCAATTTATTAGGACAATCCTTCCCACTTTCAGTGGCGTGATGTAGGAAAAGATTCACTGCATCTTCCTCAAGTAAGACCCCTAGTTTAATGGTCTTTTGGCAGCTCATTCTTCTACAAACTGTCTCATAACGTGTGGTTAGCAACACACAGCAACGACCTTGGGTACGAATGCCATGGTGAATCCCTATGTTCTCAAGTTTGAGCTCTTCCCAGACATCATCAAGTATTATGAGTACATTTCCAGCATCAGCAATTTGGATCCATATTTGTTCTGTTAAATCCTTGTCATTCTCTAACTTCAATTCCAATTTCTTTGCAATTTCATCTCGAATCTTTTTTTCATCAACAGGGTTGGGCACTTCAATAAAGATAACTTTATCAAATGCCTTTGAATTTTCAAATTCCTTCCCAACTGCTTTTGCCATTGTGGTTTTCCCCGATCCTCCCATCGCTTGCAATCCAATCCTATAATTATTGTCATCTTTCAGCTCCTCCCTGAGTTGTTCAAAAACTGAGTTTCTACTCTTGAAATGCATAAACTCTTGTGAATAGAATTCCATGCCGGGACGTTCAGCTACATGTGCAACTTGTGAAAAGTTCTCAGCTTTCTCCATCATTTCTGCCATCTCTTTAGTCATGCTCTCTAATTCCTTCGCGAGTAGACACTGAGAAAACCAATCATTACAGAAACCAAACCATTTCTTTGGTCTTGTTGCCGGTTTTATAAGGTCGTTGGCTTTTTCGACCCAGCGGTTAACTATAGGATCAATTTGAGTCTCATTTCTTCTTTTGGCTTCACTTATCCTCACGTCCACACTCTCCACTGCAGCTGACAAATCTTTTTTTTTCCGTTCAAAGTCAGCTGTATATCTCTCGTAACAACACAAATATTGAAGTTCCTTTGTTACTTTATCTACCAATATATCGGCACATTTTATTGCAGCAGCACTGCTAGCAGCGTCACCGGCCATCTGTGATACATAATGGGATTACAATTGCAAAAATAATATGACAAGGGAAAAAACATTATTTTATCATTAATATGGAAAAACAAAAGAGGAAGAATATGACAAGGAATAACTGGAAATTTAATTAAAAAAGAATTGGGTAACGGGCAGGTGCGAAATTAAAAAGAAAATTAGGATAAAATCTGCCGTTAATATAAATTTGAAACAAAAAGGAGAGGAAAATAAAAAATATGTAAAAATATATGTTTCTTTTGTGACTTTAGTTGGTTTAAATAGAAATATGTATAAATATTACTTAACTTGGTTAATTTATTAAGTCAGCATAATATCAAAACTCATATATAGTCGCATTAGTCTTCGCACATCATATAGGTGGGCATATTAATAACAACGTGGCACCATAATACCATTCGTTTTCACTTCAGTCTTTATATTTTTGGACGATGGAGCTAGTAAAAATGGTTGTATCTGGTTCTACTTTATAGACTTCGAAAATCCTAAAACTTAAATATTGATAATAAGCTAAGTTCAGCCAAAATTTAAATATATGAGAAGTATAGGGTTAAATGTATAAATAAAATTACATATCGAGTATAAAGTATAATTATGAAAAAATACTTAGAAATTTGAGAAAAATCAAGAAAAAATTTGAAAAATAGTAAAGAGGCTCTTGAAATATCTTTTGAGGTTTAGAGAAATTATTTAAGGTGAAATACTTCAAAAATATATATATTTGTCAAAAATACCTATTTTTGAGTGAAATTTTAAGGAAATAAAAGAGAAAATAACTATTAAACTCATCTAGCTTGTTTCCCAGAAAGCGTTATAAATAATTTTAAAGTTGATCTTTGAGAATTAGCAACTTATTTCTCCCAAAATTCCATATCGTGATACCAACTATAATCCAAGATTTCACTGGCATAAAAAAAAGTCATAGCAATCAAAATCTCACTATTTATATTGAGATTTCACTGGCATAAAAAACAAATCATAGCAATCAAAATCGCACTATCTATATTGTGCACAAATTTTCGCAACGTGAAGGAAGTTAACCTCACAATCCATTCTACACAGAATTTTATGAGCTCAAGCGCCTCACAAATAAAAGGTATGATTTAGGAATATAAGGAACTCACTCTTTCAACAATTTATACCCTCCCATCCTTTTTATAAGCCATAAACAAGTAAATAATTATTCAACACAAGTAAAATGATTACATTAAAAAAGGCCAGTTATTTACTATATTTGGTCAGTTTGAGCAGAGCCCAAACAAACCAAAGGAAAAGATCAACCCAAAAACATTTCAAATATTGGGGGGGGGGGGGACAGACAAATCAACAACCAACAAGATAAAAAACAAACAGCAAAAATATATATATAAAAAAAAAAAAGCAACAATACATCCTGTAACATTGACCTCATAATGCAAAATCAGCAAGGAAATCTCGAACCAAAGTACGAGCTGCATGTCACACTAGCTAAAACACTACCATTTGTGACACTCCAGAGAGTCCCAATAACCATAAGCATCCTTTGCACTTGCTATTGTGAAAAGCAGAAGCCAACGAATTATGCCACTACACGTCGAAGCTTGGGCATGGGTACCCCGTGGGGTACCGGAGAACAAGGTTTTGGCATGAAAGGTAAATTAAAGTAGAGACGTGCCAATAAGCATAGGGCAAATCTAGTGCTTGAGCAAGTATCTGATAAGATACCCATGAAAGAGCAATATCCACAGGACGTAGAGAAATAAAGACCGTACCCAAAAAAAAAAAAACACAACTGCAAACTCGACTGAACAAACATGAAAAAGAACACCAATTAGTTAAAATCAATAAATATAAGACAAATATATTTATTTTTTAAATATACCCTTTATGTAAAGAGAGGGTGAGTGAGAGAGAATGAATGGAAAAGAAATCAGAGAATGAGTAGGAAAAAGATATGAGAAAGACATATAATTAATCAAAAAGTAAGAATTAAAAAATGCATTAAACGTACATGTTCAAACATCTCCAAAATATAATTTACAAAAAAGACTATGGCTTATTAAAAAAAGATAGGAGAAAGTAATCTTAATATTGGCACGTTGATTAAAAAAAACAATCATTGAATCATCAATCAATTAACAAACCAAAAAATGAAGTATATGACAGGGCAGAAGCGAATATATATATATATATATATATATATATTTATATGCTAAAGGGTAGGAGCGAAACTAAAGAGAAAATTTGCGCTAAATCTGAAGTCAATATAGATTTGAAACAGAAAAGATGAGGAAAATTAAAAATATAAAAATAAATATAAGAAGATATGTGTGTGTGTGTGTGTGTAATAATGGAGAACTTTGTCTACTTTAAAAAAAAGGAGAACTTTACTAATTAAAACATAAAACGACGATACGCAAAAAAAGAAAAATTTAAATAAATATTATTTAGCCGGTGAAATTTCTTTTAGTCCTTTCAAAAATTTAAATAAAAAATTTTTAATAGATATTGAAAATTAAGAAATTTTACAATGTACTAATATATTTGAAAATATATGTAAGAAAATTATTTTTTGGATGTACAAAAATTATTTTTAACAAATATAAATATTTAAATAATTCTTATATTAAGGGAGTACTTTGGTCAAAATAAAAGTTTAAAAGTTAAACTTACAATTGAATGAATGAAATGAAGTTTTAAATACATAAAAAATGTTTGTGTGACATACATCTTAATTTCAATAGAGATTTATATATGTTTTCATAATAGAGAGACCATGTGATTATTTAACATAGAAGAGTGGTTTGTGTATTTTAGTCTAAAAGGAACAACAGAGAGAGGAGATTTATTTGGCAAGTGGCCTTGTGTGGAGGTTTACGTTGAGATCCAATCTGAATCCATGGATGACCTATCTCAATTGCATAGTCCAAAAACATTCTTAAGTCTTAACTATTCTAATTCACTCCCAAATTCAGATCGGGATATTCAGTCCAAAAAAAAAAGCGGGATAGAATATATGCTGATTCTGGCCCACAGCGTCGTTTTCTTTGTCTCTCGTTCTCCCAACAGTGTTCATCTCTCCCATCCAGCCGCACCATTCGTCCATCAATTCTCCATCTACTTCCAATTCTACACCGATCATTATTCTCCTTCTCCACTGAACTCACACCTCATCCTTCTTCCTCACCATCATTGCAGTTCGAATTCTTCTCTCTTGGATCAGCCATGGCGTGTTTGAAGAAGCTTGCTGAAGAATCTGTGATGCGTGGCTGAACCGTTAAACTCTCGGAGTGGTGTGACTATGCTTCAGCTATGTTCTTCATAGGGGAGTTGTTTTCTCTATTCTTGATCTCCTCTTCTCTAGTTGTAGTTATCTGAATTACGGTGTGAGTTTGTAATTGTAACTGAGCAAGAGTTGTTTCAATTGAGGCATTTGTGATTCAAGATTTTTAAACTCATTGTGATTGTGATTCACTCGATAGTTATGTGCTGAAATTGAATTCTTCTTTTTCAATTGCTTATGGTTGTGATAAGATTGCTTGTAAGGTGTTTGTGCAATTGCCTCAATGACTTTTAGGTGATTGGTGATCTAGGTTTGTGACTTGTTAGTTGCTTATCTTGAGATGAATTGACTCTCAACTAAAATTGAGCTGCACATTATGGGGTTTCTTCATGCCTCGTTTGGCGGGAAGGAATTGGAGGGAGGGAGGTGGAATTCATATTTTGGTGTGTACGGTAGTGTGGAACTCAGTTCCATAAGAAATGATCGAACTGGGTTCCATCTCACGACTGATGGAACTAAAAGTTGGGAACTATTTTGCCCCTGAGATATCTGGCCATGGGCCCATCGCGGTGTGTGAGGATAGCAAGGGTGGCTTAACTTGTACCTTGTTGTCCTTTTAATTAGGAAGTTAATTCAAGTGAAACATACGACCCAAGACGCATATTAGGTGTTAAGCGACATACATTTCACAACTATTGCAAAACACTATAAAATAAAAAACACCAAACCGAGATTAAGGTGACAAGTAGCCTCACAAAAAAAAAGAAAAAAAGAGCAGGAAGAAGTAAAGGCCTATTGATTACTAAAGCCCAGCAACCCAATATAGAGGCATGTGGAGCTCGCACTTTCTGAGAAGCCTTTGGAACCTACTAGAAGCAAAGACTAGGAAACATGATAACCACCTTTCCTAACCAGGAGCATGGAGAATGAATCAACCTTATTATGAGACAAGGAGAGAAATGGAAGGCCATCAACAGTAACGTGTAAATGGAAGAAGAAAGTAAAACCAGAGATAATCGAATAGACTATGTAGAAACCTCTTCAGATTTCGTACTTGAAAAAACCATTCGAATCCTCCATATCAATGCCTTGAGAAGCAACTCTATTAATTACTCGATGATCATCAAAGCTCCTCTTTCCTCCAACTCGACTCAACCTATTCCCACCCCTAAAGGACACCCTCGAAAGATACTCAAGAGAAAGCAGCTTGGTGAACTGTGTGTGTATATATAATATTTATGTGTTTCTTTTGTGAGTTTATAGTATATTTAAATTGAAATATCTAGTAATATAAACATCTACCTTAGTTAATAAATTTATTAACTTAGCAAATATCAGAGCCTATTGTTAGAGACCACAAATCAAAAATTGGAGAACTCAAAAACCATAAATCTGCTTGGCTCATCATAAGCCGCAACTATAGAATGTCATTGCAAATAATTTGATTTTCCTGAATTTTATCTTTAATTTTAAATAAATATATAATTGACTAAATATATTTATAAATGTTTGTAACTAAAAATTTATTTAAAATTTTTCAATTATAGATTTAAATGATTTATGTAATTTATTGAACTTATATCATTTGTACTATATGATGACCAAATTGTGTTTGAAATATTTTAAACCATTTAAAAGAAAGATAAATAAATATGTTTCAATAACTGTGATGAAAAATTAAAATTATAAACTTTTATAATATAATCAAATTTAATTAATTGTATACCAT